ATAAAAATTGGCTATATATTCTAACAATTTTCCAATAGAACTGATTTTGAAAGCGTACTTCTTCCACTTCTTTCATATGGTTATACCTATGTTCTAATGAAATCTATCCACAGATGGGGTTGGGTCTTAAGCTGGGATATGCTAGTAAATTGTTATCTATTCTTCTTCTTATTATTATAAAAAAACCAATTTTTTAACTTTGTATATGTTTGAAGGATCTCCACCTCGTGAAATTTCCAGTTGGGATAACTTGAAGAAAGTAATAAAAAATTGATGTATAAAAACGATGCCATGTCGTTTATGTTAAGTGACCAATAAATGATCTGTTTGTATAAGTGCACTTATGTAAAACGAACGACTAATGGTTCATGCTGCAACCATTCTGCAGATTTCGCTCACAAACGATAAGTTTAAAAGCTAGATTTTTTACGCAGGTGAAGTTAGCCTCATATTCGAGTAAATCCAGCCAAGATTCGGCGCCAGAACTGCTCTACCTGCGCCAGACAGCACCAGTATGCAACTCGACGAGCTCTATCCAATGGTGACTTTGGATTTTTCGTAGCTTAAACCATTCGTGCAAAAATCTCAAAATTGTAGGTTTTTCCCATGCAAATTTTACCCTAGAGATAGTAAATCCAGCCAAGATTCGGCGCCAGAGCTGCTCTACCTGCGCCAGACAGCGCCAGTATGCAACTCGACGAGCTCTATCCAATGATGACCTTGGATTTTTTGTAGCACTAACTAATCGTGCAAAAATTTCAAAATCCTTGGTTTTTCCAAGGCAAATACCACTTTATGGATATTAAATCCAACCAAGATTCGACGCCAGACCTGTTCTACCTGCACCAGACAGCGCCAATATGCAAATCGACGAGCTCTATCCAATGGTGACTTTAGATTTTTCGTAGCACTGATCAATCGTGCAAAAATCTCAAAATCGTAGGTTTTTCCCAGGCAAATTTTACCTATAGATAGTAAATCCAGCCAAGATTCGGCGCCAGAGCTGCCCTAGCTGCGCCAGACAGCGTCAATATGCAGCTCGACGAGCTCTATGCATTAATGACTTTGGATTTGTCCTAGCTTCAATTATTCGTGAGAAAATCCCACAATACTAGTTTTTTCCTATGCCAATCTGACCAGATGGCTGGTAAATCCAGCCGACATTCTTCGCGGAAGCTACTCCAGCCAGCTCCACAATAAGACTGGATTTGTTTTATCGATGGGTAACGTTGGATTCTCCATGACTGAAAATATTTCCGGAAAATTCGAAAATACTAATTTATTAGTCCATATGGTAAGATTTGCATATGAAAAAGCTAGTAGTTTGGGATTTTTGCACGAATGGTTAAAGCTACAAAAAATTCAAAGCCACCATTCGATAGATCCCGTCGAGTTGCATATTGGCGCTCTCTGGCGTAGCTAGTGCAGCTCTGGCGCCGAATCTTGGCTGGATTTACTATCTCTAGGGTAAAATTTGCCTGGGAAAAACCTACGATTTTGGGATTTTTGCACGATTGGTTAGTGCTACGAAAAATCCAAAGTCACCATTGGATAGAGGTCGTCGAGTTGCATACTGGCGCTGTCTGGCGCAGGTAGAGCAGCTCTGGCGCCGAATCTTGGCTGGATTTACTCGAATATGAGGCTAGCTTCACCTACGTAGATTTTTTTGAGAATGCTGCACCAATATTTCCTTAATGAGAAATTTCAATAAAACTCTGATTTTCCAGTTACGGAATGAAATTGCAAAAATCAGAAATAGTTCACAATGACGCTTTGACTTAGAAACTGCCGTCGAGAATTCTTGTGCTACAGATCTAATAGTTTTTCAAATTAAGCCAAATTTGAGATTAGGTGAAGTCTAAATAAAAAAAGATGGCGTTATGGAGAAATAGAATGAAACATAACCGTGGCTAGCCCTGAGCAGTGTCTCGAAGGGTCCTCGATGAACGACTAGCCGGTGCACTAAAAAGTCCCTTGAAGACACGTTTCAGGCTGTCTGTACTCATCAAACAAACATCAACAGTCTAGACCTAATGGGTTTGAATAAGGACTAGCAGTTGGTAAGAACTGAGAAATATTTCGAAATAAAGTGTGCAAATGCTTTTTCTCCACGCGCACAATATTTTAATACTACGTTTGGCGGAAAACATCAGTCAGAGGTTTTATATTCATGGCATTAGAAGTAGATATAAATGAAATAAACGGAAGTTTTTCTGCTGATATGTGTTCTTGTCTGTATTTATTCAAATGTCAAAATGCATACGGATATATTCAAATTACCTATGTAATCTGACGGTTACTTTGAGTAGGAACTTCTTTCAAGTATGGCACTTCGATTGAAGACTAGATCTAGTATGATTAATTTTAAGCTAGGAGTTCAACTGAACTCGTATTTTTGTAGCGCACACTCCAGTAACAAATATTGCTGGTTGATGTTTTAGTCAGCGAATGAATTTCTAGTAGAAATGTCAAGGAGTATGGCGCTGTTTCACAATAGTGTCGTGAATGTATTTTGCTTCGTGCCCCGTGAAAAATATTCTCTGATTTCAATCAGATTATTGTGCAACAAAATCCAATCCACAATCGGATTGATAATTTTGATTATGGTCGATCACTATTTAATCCAAATTTGATGTTATTGCTAGCCCAATGAAAATTAATTTGATTAAAATCGGATTGTACTGTTGTACAATTCAAAATTATCAATAGATTGACAATCTGGGTTTTACTGAAAAACAATCCGATTTCAATCCATTTAATTTCCACTGGGCTAGCAATGGCAGTAAGTTTGGGTTAAATGATCGTCGATTAAAATCAAAATTATCAATCCGATTTCGGATTGGATTTTGTTGCACAATAATTTGATTGAAATCAGAGAATATTTTTCACTGGGTGGTCTCTCAGAAAATTGAATATAATCTGTTTTGGAGTACATGTGGATATTGCCGCCATTGTGTAGTTCCTTAGGCTATTGTTGAGTACCAGTGTGAGGGTGTGAATTTGATTAGATGTAATTATGACAAAAATGTTCCTTCGGATCCGTCATATCATTGTGCATAACAAGTTTGACGCTAATATCAATGCACACACATCCATCCATTCTTTTGACACATTGGATGCTTGCCGTGTTCAAGACTGTAAAACAGTATAAAACATCAAAGGGCCGAATATATAGTTTTGGGTCATAAGAATTCCATGGACGAGCGTTACTTGTACGTAATAGTGATATTTTCATCGTCAGGATACTTGATGACTTTATCTTTTTATTTCCAACATAAAAAACCTTGGCTTATTTTTGATTATGAAGAATTACGACGTTTCTCAATATAGCCTTTATCAAAGATTTATATTTTCTTAGAGAAGTGTATAGAAATGCCGTATTCACGAACTAGAGATTGATGACTATTATAGAGCAATTGGATGGGAATCTGATTGTCATCAGCAACGTTATCATATTGCTTTTTATTCCAAAAACGTTGGAGTCACTATATTTTAGAGACATGATTCTTGATTGAAAGCCATTCGGTATGATTGTTTTATAAACTTTTTATTTCGTAAATTTTTAGACGACAGCTATTCAGGAATTTCATTTTCAAAACAAGATATCCGTCATCAAACGTACTTTATATAGTGGTAACGCACACAAACAGAAAAAAACTAATATTCAATTCAAGAACAGTGTCACGCAGGTAATTCTTACTACATATTTTCGATGCGCTTTCTTTGACAAAACTACACAATATAGTTTTCTCATAAGAACAGTCGTATTTTTTAAAAAGGGATTTGTATAATTTCTACTTAAGCATCCGTAAATAATCAACGATTCAAACATAATTCAACAACAGAAAAATAGTAGATAACCTTATAATAGACCCCAGATTTTCATAATACTTGGTTATTTTACTATCCAAGAGCTGCTACAGTTGACTAATTATACTATTCTGCTGATACTCAGAACAAATTGTGTTCGAACGTGAACATCAATAGCCTTGGAGTGATTTTAGACAAGTCAACGATTGTTTATCTCCAATCACTTGTCTAATTGTATGCAGAGTACATTGCAATATAAAGATGCTCTCCTGATTAGTATAGGATGAGTTAGACTATATGGAAAGCTCAAGACATAGGGCATAACGATGTGAAAAGTTTAGAATTCAGAATTCTGAAGGCTTGAGTTTTGTTTTTTAGCTAAGGGTGACTACTGTAAGAAAGATAAAGACAAAAAAGAAACGTTGCACTCGAATATTTAGAAGTAGTTAGTACTCGAACAATTGCTAATGACAACCGATCTATTCATGGGCCAATATGATACGTGGTTATTCTATTTGATCTGGAAAGCCAACAGTTTCCTTTTCAAAAGATTTTTCACATTGCGATCAATTAAAAGAATTATCCTTTATAACTCCTTTCCTTAAATGAACCTGTGATGACGAGGGTATTTCCGTTTGAAATAGTTAGTAGGTGTTTTCTTCTTACACACGTTAATGCTTCAGCACTAACAGCATCCTACTCATTCTCTTATTGGCACTTTACAAATATATAAGCCTTCAACATAACTAAGAGTGCATTTGCTATTAAAGAACAAGTAACAACTCTGACTAAAATAAAGAGAATGGTCCACTGTAATTTCGTCAGCATCAAGAGACTTTAACAAAGAAACATTTTTCTTGGCTTATACCAAAAATTTTATATTTTCAATCTATCTCGAATCATTTCAAGATATCGTTTGAAAACTAAATGAAAGAAGAATATGCAGTTTTATTGCAATAAAAGACGAGCCATAGAAACAATTTTCAATAGAATGGTTAGGTAAAAAGTAATTTTTGAATTGTATTCCATATAAAAACTGATTGAAACTGTTATAGACGGAAAAACAGTATGTTCATTTCTCATATGCTAAGCAATGATTGTGATCTATATTTTTATTTTCTAGTTCCAACGAATTTGTACTAATCATAATCACACTATATATATATATATATTATTCTGCAGTTTACAATATGAAAATGTTCATTATTTTAAATTTTCCAATAACGACAATACTTCTATTTAGTATTGTTAATTCATCAACAGGTGTTATTCCGCAATGTGGTAGTGATAAACATTGTTGTCAGACTGCTGCTACACTCAAAAAGGTTGGCTTTGCTTCTGCTAAAATAAATGTTATGACAGCAATAGCTTATTATGAAAGCGGTTGGGGTACACACAATGGTCCAAAAATGAACGACGACGGTAGTGGAGATTATGGCTTATTTCAAATTAATAGTTATTTATGGTGTAGCTTATCAGGAAAGCAAAATGATTGCTGCTGTCCAGGAACATACCCTCAATGTCGGAAAAATTCAACATTACGTACATGTGCATGCGGATGCAACGTTGGTTGTTTACAAGTATTATCAGATAATAATTTAAATGCTCAGTGTGCTGCGATTATTTTCTCACGACAAGGTTATACAGCTTGGGCAGCATATAAATCACATGCTTCTGAATGTGATTTCTATAGTATATTTTTTGGTCAATGTTCCTCTGGAAATTGCTGTTCAGATATCAATCCTGGTACTGTTTGCTGTCAATCATATTACTCATTTAGACACTTTTGTTGCCCTTCTATAAACTCAACATGTTGCTCATCGGGTTGGTATGATACATGTTGTCCACTTCAAACGCCCATATGTTGTGGAAGGCACTGTTGTTCAAAATCCTGTGATCCATTGGGTTTTGGATGCTCTTTTTAAAAGCGTGAGACTGGTGAAAAGTCAAATCGAGTACCACAGAAAGCTGCATTTAATGCTTTAAATTAAACCTAATACGTTTAGATCATCATTAGTCAAGAAATTTCAATCCTGTCATAAAATTTCATAGTGACTTCTTTTTTATCATAATATATTCAAGCAAGCTCATCGATATTCTAATTCTAATGTTGTTATTCTAATAATATATGTAAACTCATAAACTAATTCTAACCTATGCACTACTTTATCTTATTTGATTCTTAACATATTTCCTATTATCATTTTTAATATATTCTTATTCATATTTTCTACTTAAGAGGGCTATGATATTTATCGCTGAAACATATTTGTTTTACACTTACTATGTCTTGTTCTGAAATGCTCGTATATGACTCATTATAGTACTATTCAAATGGAAAAGTTTCTATTGTGATGACCTTCCATTGGGGTTTTAATTGATTGATAATGTCTCTTTACGATAGCACTTAACCATAGGGTGTCGGTGTGAGTGGGTGTGGTTGTGGGTGTGAGTGGCTGTGGCTGTGGCTGTGGGTGTGAATGGGTGTGCGTGTGGGGTGTGGGTGTCGGTGTGGGTGTGAGTGTGGGTGGGTGTGGGTTTGGGGGCAGATGTGAGTGTGGATGTGAGGGTG